CTTGTAATTTTAAATTTTGCAGTTAAAATAATTATATTAGTATCTTTTTTTTTTGAAAAATAATCAAATGTAAAAATGCATCAATATTTTTTTATATATTTTTAAAAAATATTAAACAAAATTAATAATTGTTTAGTTTTCTTTTTTAGACAGGTCAGGTCAAGTCGGGTCAGGTTAAATATATATTTAATTCAAATCAATTTTATGTCTGACCCAACCTGACCTTATCAGGTCAGGTCAAGTCAATTACCCGATCTGACCCAACCTGTTTGGAGCTCTACTAGTTTCTATAAATACACATTTCACATAACCCTAAGTATATAAAGATCATACAAATTTCTCTCTTTAAATGCATATCCTCTTTAAATGCAAATTTTTTCAAATTTTCACTATAGTCTCAAGGGGATGCAGATATATTATATATATTATATGGGTTATGATCTAAGAAAATCAAGTTCTGAGAAATTTTTGACCAAAATTAATATCTTATTACATTTTAATCTAAATGTAATAAAAATTAAAATACAATTAAAATCTCAATTTTATTAAAAAATTCTCAGAACTTGATTTTCTTAGATCACAACCCATATGTTTGAATTACTATAAATGTTAAAGTTTAGAAAATTTTGATACAAGGCAACGAAAAATACAGTATTAACAAATAACCCATATTCTTATTTAGAGTTAGGTTAAAAATTGTTGTAGCTGGGGAAATCCATAATTTGATAACAATATTTAATAGTTGAAGTTATTGTGCTTTGCTATTGTTCAATTCGTAATGATGATCGGCTATTTCTTACTGATCGACATTATCGAATTAGACAATTTATCAACGCAAGCACAATAACAATATTATCGTGTGATATTATGATGATTTAAAAAGCTAATAATATTAAAGCATGTATATTTAATATATATATTTCATTATTTTAGTATTTATTAAATTATAAACTATTAATTCTATTTTATTTTGCATTTATTAAATTATACTACAACATTGCAAGATGGATAAGTCATTTATTAATGGTAAATTACATATTATTAATTTTTTTTATAAAAAAATAGATAAAAGAATTAGTTCTAATGAACCATTTTAAAGAATTAGATCAACAAATCAAATAAAAAGCAAGATTTCAAAATGACAGCTACGTTTTCATTAATTCCATAGTTATTTTAACAAATTATATCAATAAAAATATCAAAGAAATATTTATTTCAATTTTTTGCGATTATTCTTTCTTGTAACAGGACAGGATTCGTATTGGTAAAATTTAGATGATGGTCATTACATAAAATTTAAAAACGAGGAAAGTATATTTGGGGAGAAATATATAACAATTTTTAGCTTTTACAGAAAAAGTATTTGGGAAAAAAAAACTGATAATGGAAAAATCATCTTGTGAGATCGACATTTTGGAAACAAATAAACTTTTAATTTTCTACTTTTGTTTCAACCTTTCTTGTTAATTAAAGCAAATAAAAATTTTGAGTAAGAAAAAAAAAGATTGATCAGTCCGAATGGATCTCCAAATTAGCATCTTTAATAAAATACCTTCAACAGGAAAAGAGAAATAACTTAATTAAGCAACGCGCTGCTCCTAATATAGATTTCGACTTTGGCACCGTAAGATAAGTACTGTAGATAATCAAATTTAATATTAGTAAAAGAATATACATTTTGATTACATTGTTAATAAGTTAATTTAGAGTTCAGAGGACTGTCAAGCCTTATCGTGCTGAAAAAATATCATATCGTGCTAATGAGCGTGCAGAGGATATCTCAGTAACGTGTAGAGGACGTGATAAAGGTCAAATGGTGAAGGGGAAAAAGGGAGATGGCACTATAGAAAAAGCCCTCACATGCTGCTGCAATGAGACAGAGGAAAAATAGATAAAAATCTAATTTCGTAACCAAAGCAATAGAAGATACTATACACATCTATCTCTTAAAGGCCCAGCCACACGGTTTAATCATCGCATCGCATGTATATTTTTTTAAATAAATATTTTAAAAAACAATTCTTATCCTAGCCTTCTTTTAAAAAGTCTAACAAGCCTAATAACTTTGAACGCCGGACATTTATTTTTTGAAGAAAAGGCAACTGAAAAAATTCTACAAAGTTTTTACTTTAAATAAAAAACTCGGTGAAAATAGCGAACCAAAAACCAAAAAGAAAATATTATGAATGACGTAACATACACAGTATTTTGCCTTTCTGAATAGCGTGATGTTGCTCGTTCTTCTAATAATTTAATATGTTGACCAACTTGCATTTGCTTCTAAACACTTTTTTCTCTTTATATCAACTTAGTGATGATTTATATATGATGTAACGAGTTTCAAAATATTCTTGGTTATCCGTTAGAATTAACAATTGGTAGAATAAATGTTTCAAGAAAATACTTGAAGAAAAAAAATGCTCCAAGTTGCATACGTGCAGGTAGCCGCTGCTTCATAGATACTTCGTTCTTTTACAATTACGTACTTGTGGATAGCTTTATCACCAGGAAGAAATTTTCCTCTTTTGAGTAATTTTCGCTCGAAATTTTGCTTGTTTGCGACTAACTCTTCACTTCCGAGCACCGCCAACAATCTTATACCGATTTCAAGTAATAAATCAGCATAACAGTTGACATTAGGAATGAAAAATGTTATATTTTATGACGCAATCGTCACAAAATGAATAAATTTAATCTTTTTGTAAAAATAAATTTAAAAATAAATTAATTATTAATGATCTGGTCATCGATTTTGACAAAAAAATTATTTCAATATCTTTTAGGTAAAACTAAGAAGCGTCAAAAAGCGTTAACTTATTATTTGTTTGTTTGTTGATTAAGTATAATAAACGCACATCCGAACCAATGAATGGATGTATTTCTATTTTGATCTTCCGCCATGTTTTGACATGTTTGATAATGTTTGATATAACACAATTGTTGAACCAAAGTTCGAACTTTCATTATAAATGATGTTATATTCGTTATTGTAAAAAATATAAAAGCCTTCTATTTTAAGTAAATAAATGCCTTTTTTAGAAATATATACTTTTTTTGAAATATTCTTTTGGAAACATATTGTAAATTTAGGTGCACCGATAGAAAACCAATTTTCGCACATTATTTTAAAAGAGCAAAAAATGGTCATTGCTTTAAAAGAGAACATGTATTAGGTATTATTGGCGGGATGCAGTACTTAGTAAAGAAAATGCATAATTTGTATTTCATCATCACATTTATTCTGGATGAAAAAGTTCTGGTTAACTTTGTTGACAAAAGGCTTTATTTGTTTTTCCCCTTTACAACATAATAGAATTTTGCAGTAAAACCTTTTCTCCTGCAAGTTAAATAACTTTCTTTTTTATAAATATAATCAACATTCCAATCTCAATTTTTGAGAGGGGAGGTAATTTCATCGACTCGAATGTTGAGCGGGCAAAAGCGCAGTACCGTAAAGCAGTGATGTGCATTTTATGCTTCCAATCCAAATAATTTATTAATAAATTGTGCTTCCAAACCTTCCAAAGGTGCTTCCAATCTTCCAAGTGCACATCGCTGCGCCGTAAAGCGTTCTGTATAGTACCCGGGGTATTTTACATACTTAATATGCGGGGTAGTTCAATTTATTAATACGGTATTAGTACCCGGATACTATACATTCTACACCGGAGGGTACTATATATAGTGGGTAGTTAACCTTTATCCTTTAAAATATAAATTTGAAATTATTTTAAATAAAATATTTATAATTTAATAATTTCCCAAGTTGTTTATGGAATTACGTAAATTCGTGAAACTATATTTTTTTTTTTTGCTTGTTTGTTGATTTAGGTAAAAACCCTTTATTATAGATTAAAGATTTCTCTTTTAAGTAATCCTTATAAATAACCGTGCAACAAACGGATCAACAGTTTCGAATTTTGTGATACATTAAAATGGTATTTAGTTTGATTTTGGCATTTAAAAAAAAATTTACCCCCTTTTTTTTTATCAGAGAAAAAAAATAAAAATAAAAAATAAAAATTGTTTTTTACACTTACTTTATTATGTCAGCTATTCGACAAGAATTGATTAACGCTGCGTATCAGAAAGCACACGCATTAACGGATTATATTATTGATGACGAAGGACATGATTCAAGAAAGAAATTAATCCTCGCTGATAAATCTCTTACAAAGGATGAAAGGTCTGAAGCGATAAAAGTATTAAACGAAAATTATGATTACTACAAAATTCTTTCTAATCAAGGAAAGAAAAGACTTTGTAATAATTGCAATCAAGAATGTTTGGCAACTTTATATTGTGAATATTGTGTTCGAAACTATTTAGAATCAAAATTTTCAAATTGGACATCAGGGAATCATGACGTTGATAGATTAATCCAGAAATGTCAAATGGAAGCTCACTCCCCCGATTATATAATTGAGTGGATACCATATGATAAGTTACAGAATATTAAATATTTAACTAGGGGTGGATGTTCTGATATTTATTTGGCGGAATGGATCGAAGGAGGTTATGATAGATGGGATGAAAAAAATCATCAATTAAAAAGATTTGGTAGTGAACATGTGATCCTTAAAAGGTTGGAAAACGTTAAATTTGCTAACAAAAATTGGTTTGAAGAGGTACGTAAACGTAATTTAAAATATTCATTAAATTTATTTTAAACAGAATTTATCATCAATTATCACTAATTAAAAAAATAAAATAAATAAATACACTTATAGGCAAAATCACATTTAACTTTAGGAAATAAGAAGACGGTGGTTGTTAAATGTAATGGGTTCACCCAGGACCCATCAACAAAAGAGTATTTTCTTGTGATGAATCAAATGGATATAGATTTAAGAAGATATTTACTACAAAATCATCATCTTTCATGGAAAGAAAGAATTCAAATCACATTTTATATAATAGATGCACTTAATAGCATTCATAAAGATGATATTATCCATAAGGATTTGCATTCTGGGAATATATTATACTTACAATATAATAATTATTGGTACATTAGTGACCTTGGATTTTGTGGACCCGCTGACATGCCATCAGGAAGTATCTACGGAAATCTACCTTATATAGCTCCTGAGGTCATTACCGGAAAAGCTTATACTAAAGCATCTGATATTTATAGTGTTGGGATGCTTATGTGGGAACTCGCATCTGGACAACCACCATTTAACGATTATGAGAATGACTATGATCTTGCAATAAAAATAATAAATGGAATGAGACCAAAAATAGTGTCAAACATTCCTATTGAATACAAGAAATTAATGGAAGAATGTTGGGACGCTGATCCATCAAACAGGCCTGATATTGGGGATCTTCATAATAAAATAAATGAAATCAATAAAGGTTATGATCAAAAATTAAATGGAAATAAAAGTATTATTAAAAAATTCTTTCAAAATTTTCAATCAAATCATCCAAGAACAGATGATGATTTAGAAATAGATGAATCATGTAATATAGAAATAATCCTTAGAGGTTGTAGAACATTTATAAGTAAAGTTTATAAATTTGAACATTTCCCTGAACCAAAGAATGCAATTGAAGGTAAATCTCAAATCATTAATTTTTCTCTTTAAATTTATTCTAAAATATTATTATAACATCATATTCCTTTTATAGAAATAGATGATCAAGAAGGTATATACGATTTAAGGCATTTCTTCATGGATTGGACCGCATGATATTTATCAATTTTTTCTCTTTTTAGCTGATAATTGTAGTAATTCAAGTGCAAAGAATAACAGCAGCGCAAAATCGGGTAGCATCTTTGAAGGTAAATAAATATATTAAAATTCAAGTAATAATTGGGCGTATATTAATTTGATTTTTAATCATTTAGTCAACAACAATAAGAGTAGCAAGAGATTATCCAGAGTATTTAAAAAATTACGAATGAATATTTCCAATACTAGTAAGTAGAATTTACGTCAATCATAATATATCAAATATATTAATTGGATATAATTTATTTTTATAGATATTAATAATAGTGATGAAGCAATACATCATCAATCAAAGGAGCATAGTATTGAAAATAGTGGTATGAATATAATTTTGAAAATTTTATGATATTAATATTATCTGATTTTTAATCTTTCTTTTTTTACAGATGATGATGATAATCCCAATCTTCATTTAAAAGTTCAAAAAGATCATTTAGAAATACGAAATAGATTGGAAGTTCCTGATGTAAATGTTTCAAAATCGTATGATGTTTAAAATATTAGTAGTATTTGGTATTTTTTACTTACTCTTGTTGAATTTTTTAGATCAACTTTAAATCTACTTAGATTCAAGAAAATTATTCAATAATAATACACATTTTTGCACCATTTTTATATTTATATTTATATTCATTTTATTTCATTATTAAAAATCTTCGACTATATTTTAGAAACTTCACATTAATAAAAGGGTAAATATCGTTAGAAATAGACATTAATTCCTATCAAATCATTTCATTTCAAAAATATTTATTAACTTTGAGATAAGTTATTATAATGAAAGTTGCGGGAAAACTTTCATTTTAGCAAATCGAAACCCTTTGTTTCAACGAGATTTTTAATATATAGTTTCGACCTTATAGATTTATTTATAGTTTCTACTATTACAGATTCGACGATACCGTCGTCGAAACCCTAAATTATATTGGAGGGTTGCTATTAAAATCATGTTCGGATAATATTGATTTATCTTTATATCTCGTAACTTGACATTATGGATCTCAACGTAGTCGATATAGAGTATAATAAAATGAAATTAAAATTAAAATAAAATAATATTTATGAGTTCGAATACAAGTACTATACACATTTTGTTTTTATTTTACTTTTCTTTGTTCCCATAATTATTTATAACCATATTATTTCATTGAAGGAAAAAAATTGATGATTTATAATTTCATTAGTTACATATTTATTAAATTGTTTACAAATAAATTATATTACCGTAAAATCGTGAAAATAAGCACCCCTTGAAAATAAGCACTCCTATCACTTTTGATATCATGTTTAAAAATAAGCACCTTCGATAGGATAATGAAATCTTTTATTTAAAAATGAAATAATAATAGATTTGCGCAAAAAATAACCGATTTTGACGATCACATGACTGCAGTAAAGAAGGTGCTATTGCAATATATTTATTTTTTTTAATATAACCTAAAAAATTATTATTATGAAATTATAATTTATCACTAGTGCCAGCCTTAATTTATATTAGAGTTAGGTTTAGAGTCTTTGGTTAGGAATATTTGTCACGTAGTGTCACACCGATAGGTTCTTCATTTTTACCAAGTATTACAAGTACAGTTTTTTTTTGATGGACAAAATCCTATTTGTCACCTTTATATATCACAGGCGATAAAAACTATTATAAATCGCACTGGCGATAAATTACAAAAACCTATTATTATATCTTTAATGTAATTTACATAAATATATATAATATATATACAGTCAGATCTCCATAGAGTCACCTAATCGGTTTCAACAAAATCGTGATTATATAGATTTATGCTTATTTAAATTATCATAATTTTGGCCAGAATTATAAATTATATAGTATATAATCACGTGAATTGCAGATCATTTTCATTATTAGCAATAGACATTTTACAAAAATATTTTTTGAAATCTATGAATTCCTTTTTAGATGACCTGTATAATGTTAAATTCTAAAAATGAAAATTTGTATAATAATTATAAGTTATGTGATTCATAATTTTGGTTAAAATTATGACTTGACTAAAATTATAGTGATTATAAAAGAAGTCTAATTATTCTAATTATTAATAAAAATGATATGTAGATTTAGAAAAAATAGGTGATTGTAATTATAGTTGATTTGTGATTATATAGAGGTAATTTAATATTAATTAAAACTGTTTCTCAAAATCGGATGTATATAAAAAGATGTGATTATATAGGATATAACTATATAGAAGAACATAATAGATATTCGTTATATCATCAAGTGATAAAATTAAAAGTCGATCTTTTTTATATTATGTAACATTTAATATTAATCGATTTAAAGCAATAAAAAAATATGCAATTTTTTTTAAAATCTAATTTATTATTACACAATTTTTTTTACATTAATATATTATTCATTATTTCTTTATATTTGAATAAAAAATAATCTGATGATCTTTACTCTAACAAAACTTAGATGAGAACTGAAGTATTAAGATTTTGTTGATTAATATATATATATTAAGTTTTTATAAATTCTAAAGCATTTTTAAAGTTTACCAATATTTTTTCTTCTATTATTTCTTCTTATTCTTTTTCTTCTTTATTTTCATTATCTAATATTTCATTATCTAATAAGCTATTATTAATATTATCATCTTTTTCTAATCTTTTTATATAGAAATATACATTAAAGACAACATCTTTTTTATAAAATTCTAAATAATAATTATACTTATTAATTTGTTCTATATAACATTTGTGATGAAAAGCATGTTCATATATTAATAATTTACTTTCTTCTTTATCTAAACATTTAAATTTTTGATTACAATAATCACATATATTATAAGATGGTAGTTTAGATATATAATATCCTGCAGGTAAGCATTTTAATTTTACTTTTTGTTAATAATATTCATTCTTATTAATTTTTCCAAATTTTTAAAGAGTTGATAAAAGTAGTTAATTAAGAATATACTTGTTTTATATTTTAAATAATCTATAGTAGATTCTTTATAAGAATAATTTTTAAATGTTCTAAAAGTATTAAAAAATTTTTGATCATGTGATTCTAATATTTTTATTTGAGAAATTATAGCATTTAAAAAATATTAAGGATTTGTATTCTTTCAATTTTATTATGCCAATTTTTTAACATAATTATTATTAAAATTTAACAAGATAATTTTGAATTGTTTCAAAAAATAGATGATTATTATCTTTCCAATAAAAATATCTGAAAGAATAGCCAATTAAATTTTATTATAATTTTTTCTTTCTTATCTTAAAGCAAATATCTATAATCTAAAAATTGTACTTATATATTGATCATAAGAATTAGATCAAAATATAATATTATAGATATCTAAAGCTGCAGGTGTTAAATTATCTAATATATCTTGATATTCAATATCTTTATAAAGTGATTCAAATTTTTTAAATATTTTTGTAACAATTTCAATTTATATTAAATTTGCTAATTTTAAAATAAATTAATTCTTCAAGGTTTGGGTTTTTTTATTAATATTTTATTTTTTACTAAAATTGATTGATATAATTTTTCAAAAAAATCTCAATGAATTAATATTATATCTTCTCTCATATTTAGTGATATATATAATAGTCTAAGAATTGGAATAAAGTTATTAGAAATTTTAGTTAAAATTTTTTTTTTTTTTGTTTATTATGTAAAGTGATTGCTTTTCTTATAAATAATTAACCTGAAAAATTAGCAATAATTGGTATTATATTTTCTTGAAGATTAGTATTTAATGAAGAAATATCTATTACCATTTCAATAACTTTTAGATAATCATCTAAACTTTTAAATTATTATATGAATAAATAGTTAAAAGTTAATAAATCAAAATATATATGTATTAAATAATAATTGATTCTCTAATCTTCAATATTTTTAGGATTATAAATTGAAATATTATTTTTTATTATTGGTATAAGAGAACTTCTTTCAATAGTTTTAGAAACATATATTGATATATGATATGTAAATAAAAAAGATACTGTATTTGGATTTCTATAACTATGTATTGAATGATAATTATCAAGATTAACAAAATAATTTATTTTTATTTTTTTTATAATATTGATTTATCTTATTAAAATGATTATCTGATATATTATTTTTATATCTTTCTACTATTTTATAAGATATAGAAAAACCAGGTCTTGCTATTATATTAATAGATTCAAAAGTAACATTACATAAAGATAAATAAAGTCCAATTTCTAATTAAAGAGAATTATTAAATTTATTTTTAAACCAGATAATAAATAACAAAATCAAACAAGTAATTTTTTTTTATTTTCTATATTATTAATTTTTTCTATTTGCTAAAATAAAAATATTAAAAATATCAACTAATTCATCAAAAAAACATTTTAATTGTGATTCATCTTTTTCAATTATATTTTGAAATTTTTTAGAATCTAATTCAATTACTAAATGTAATAGTCTTTGTTTTTTATATAAGCATTTTGAAAATAATTTGATTTTTTCTTTTAATTAATTTAAATTATTTTTTTTTTTATATTTATTTATGTCATTTTGTATTTTTTTATTTTATTTATTAAAAGATTAAAATTATTTTATCATCATTATATTTACTATTTATATTAGACCAATTAAAATTTTAATTTAATATTATTATCTAAATTTAAAAATTGAAATGATTCACATTCTGTATAATCATTATCATTTCTAATATATATATTATTAAATTTTTCTGATTTTATTTTTTTATTTTTACTTCTTCTATCTGCTTCTATAATTGATAAATAATATGAAAAATATAACTGATCATTAATTTAAAAATAGCTATAATTTTGATATGTATTAGTTTTTATAGTTTTTTCTTTACTTAATTAAGTAAATTTTCTAAATTTATATATATTTAGATCACAATCCTTAACTTTACATTAACTAGTATTAGAATTATTAGAATTTATTTTAGATATATTTGATATATACTTTGATTTTAAATAATAAATTTTTAAAAAATTTTTATATAAATTTTATTAAAAAATAATAAAAAATATAAAAGTATTAAAAATATTAAAAAAAGCTGAAAATATAATTTTAAAACAGTATTACAAAAAATTAGCCTATTATTTTTTGGTAAATATTATAACAATCAATTTCAAACCAATCAAATTAATTATTTATATAATATTTCAAAAATAATTATTACAAATTTCAATCAATAATGTTTCTAGAAATTGATTATTTATTATGCTATATAGAGGCCTTATTGTATATATTGTTTTTTTAAAGAAAAAAAATATTAAAGTACAGAGGATACCCAAAAGTATCTGAACAATTTTTCACTTAATATAAAATGCAAAATTTTAATGTATATGCTATTAAAAGTCAATTAATATTTTATTTAGAGCAAAATAAGCTCTATATTTTATACTAAGTAACTAGTACTTAGTTGTGCCTCCTCTACCACAATTATTGCTTGTACCTATTTCAGCATACTATCAACTAAATTTTCAATTAAACATTTTGAAATTGCTTTCCATTTTTTTTTAATACATTTTTCAAACTCAGTAAGTTTGAATGGTTTTTTTTG